TCCGAGGATGGAGGAGCCCCCCCTCGCTTATCTGCTCGGTTTGGGCAGAAATTTAAGAAAATCTGCGCGCCCGCCGCCCTGCGTGGGGGATCCCGGAGGGCATCTTCCACCCAGCAGGGCAGGGAAATATCTCCCCCGGGGGGGGTCATCAGGTCTACCCCCTTCCCCCCCCCCGCAACACCGCCGCCGCCACGGCGAGTGGACCGGGATAGCAGGCGGATCCCACGCCGCGGGTGGCGGTTGGCGACCCGGGCTGCCTTTCTGAGAGCCAGGCGCTGGGGGAAGCAAAGGGGAAGGATTGAGTTATCCCAGGCTGGAAAGTGACGAGACCGCAAGACCTGTAGCCAATTAAGATGTTAACCACGCGGCAAACGGATGTTTCCACAGCCTTAGGAGGTTTGGATCTGACACGCTGTGTGACAAACAGGTGGTGATCAGACATCCTACCTGGGGAAAGTAAATGCTTTCAGCTATTACTTTTAAGGTACCTGTTTCCAAACATGGGAATTTTGCACAGCTAGGAGTTAAACTACACCTTCTAGTTGGCCATGGATGAGTAGTAAGGGCATCTGGGCCCTGTATCCCACATGACTGCTGTTAATATTGGTGTAAATCTGCACAGATTCCACTTCTGACATGCTCCGTGCCTCACAACTGTTTTAGTGCTCTCAAAGAATCACCGATCACAGAATCACAGAATTGTTGGAGTCTAGTCACAGAATTGAAGGGAACTCTAGAGATCATCTAGTCCAACTCCCTAAATCCTGCTAAAGCAGGATTGCCCAGAGCACATTCAGGACTGCATCCAGGCGGGTCTTGAAAATCTCCAGAGAAGGGGACTCCATGACCTCCCTGGGCAGCCTGTTCCAGGGCTCTGGCACCCTCACTGTAAAGAAGTTTTTCCTCATATTTGAGTGGAACTTCCTATGCTCCAGCTTATGCCCGTTGCCCCTCATCGGGGCTGGAAATCACCGAAAAGAGTCCGGCTCCATCATCCTTCAACCCACCCTTTAGGAACTTGTAAACATAGATGAGGTCTCCCCTCAGCCTTCTCTTCTCCAAGCTGAAGAGCCCCAGCTCTCTGAGCCTTTCCTCATAAGGGAGGTGCTCCAATCTCTTAATCACCTTAGTTGCCCTACGCTGGACTCTCTCCAGTAGTTCCCTGTCCCTCTTGAACTGGGGAGCCCAGAACTGGATGCAGTATTCCAGTTGTGGCCTCACCAGTGCAGAGTGGGAGGTCATTCTTCCCCTCTTTGACCTACTGGCCACACTTCTCCTTATGCAGCCCAGGATTCCATTGGCCCTCTTGGCAACAAGGGCACATTGCTGGCTCAAGGAAGTTTGCTATCCCCTAGGACGCTCAGATACAGTAATGCAATAAAGCACTGCAGGTTTGAAAGCAGTTTATGATGCAGGAACTTTGAAGCATCATTGGCTCAGAGCAGGCTGAGCAGTGTTTGAATAGAAAGCCAGATGCTACTCAGTAACATGTAAAAATATCATACACATTGAGCAACACCAGCGTAGACAGATAGTTCGGACTTCATTTATAATGTCTCTGAATGGTCATAAGCAATAAAAGTTGAGTTAGGAGAGTCAAGCCTCTGAAATGCGTGGCACGTGTTTGAGATAAATCAGACACCTGTGTTTTATTTAGTTTCATTTTAAACAGCGCAGCGCAAGTAGTTCAGTTCATACTCAAATACAAATAATACGGCTGCATGTGATTAACACATACATAATTCCTTACCTTAACACACTAACATTTTCTGGCCTTTTACAATCGCCATTAGTAAGTTACAGAAACGAAACACATGCTACTCCCTATGTCCCTCAAATTTTCATCCTGGCAGCTTCCCCTTGATTAAGTCTCCATGTTCACATGGAAAGAGGCATCATTTTGCTCTTCTCTTATATGTCAGAGCAGAAGGGGAAAAGGGGGAAGAATACACAGCTTTGCAGGTTCTTTTATAAGAAAGGTGTCAGAGACAAAACCAAAGCTTTTTTCCACAGAATACATCCTCTCAAAGTTTCCTTTTGAAGGCACTGAAACTCTCCTTCAAAAGGTTAACACTGTCCTCAGTAATAGACTCTCTCCCATGAAAGGGAGGCTTTAACCTATCCTAAACTCAAGTAATCCCAGAATGGTTTGGTTTTCGGCTAGTTCAAAACATACATATAAAGAGAAACACAGGAAAAAATGGGAGGCCTGTGGTGCAGCCTCACAGTAAGTGCATTAGCACTCCAGGTACCAAAGGCAGATTCACATGTTCAGGACACCGAGCCTGTACCTGCAAGTATTCATACAGGTTCCAAACAGTTATTTTCTGCCTCTGGTCCCCAGATAGCAAACGAATGTGTTGACAGAAGATTTGGGGAATTCACTCACCATTTTTTTCTTCACCGGCTTATTTTCTTTCATCTCACCGTTGCTTTGCTGTTTGTTCTCCATTCCGTTACCTTGTTAGGTAATAGCTGAAGAGGAAAAGAGGGTAAGGGTTTTTTTTCTAGTCAAATCATAAATCTGAAGTCTAGCTGCTCTTTTCAAAAGTCAGATCCTCATTCAGGTAGGCGTAGCAGCACCAAACTGAATCCGGTTAAAAGCAACTAAAACATAGATGTTAACTGTGTTTAGGTAGTCTAGTCAGAGGGCAATGTGCTCTTTGGAGCAGGCATAGTAGTTCCTAGCACATCTAAAGAATGAAGGGGAAAAAAACTATGGTATTAGGTCCTTCCGTGGATGCACTATTTCTCTAAGAATAGGAGCGTCAGACCCACTGCAACTAAAAAAGGGGTTTAGATAGTCAGGCGGGACTACGTTACGATGGTTGGGTTGCAGCCAAGACATTTGGATTAATTGCTGGTGTGATTCTAATGATTATTTGACCTTGTATTAGCTGGGGCATTGCCCCAGTGCATTTGCAACAGAAGACTCAATTTATTTACTGCTCTGTCAAGAAAATTCTTGCCTGAACACCACCATGTGTGCTTTAATAATGTTAAAGGACATTTTAATGATCATTTATTAAGAAACTAAACTGATTTCTAGGCTTTCAGAGAGGATGGATTATCTGTTATTTACACTGTGATTCATTGCATGATCTTGGGCAGCCCCTCAGTCTGTTCAGTTCATTCGGAATATGGATTACTGGGTTCTTCTATCTCAACATCTCGACATGATCACATTTCAAGATCTCTGCTTACTAGGTCATTATGGTAACAATAGATCCGATCTTGAACACAAGTTGTCTTGTAGACAAGAATCTACAAGACAGCGAGCTGTGATACATGGGGAGTAACAGTCAGTTTAGTGAAACAGCATGTTGGAGTGGAAATTGTCACACATATAAGAGGTTTTCTCAGACGAAATTCTGTCTGATATGAGTACTGCCATTGGCAGTGTTGGGGCCATTATATCAGATGGTTCCAAGAAATCAGGGTGACCTTTTAAGTAAGAGAAGCTAGAGAGATGACAGCATCTATAATCACTAAAGCCAGAAAAATTACCTTCTTCCCTCTCTGCCTCCCAGTGCAGTCAAGACTAAAAACCTGAAAATCCTTTCCCTCTGCTGCAAAGGGCCTTATTCAATGCCTTTTAAATTACTCTTCAAATAGAGCTTTCAAGGCAAATTTATTTCACTTTATAGGAGAGATGCTTAGTCTCATCATCAAAGAGTTCACCTGTCCCATGCCACATTTAACAAGCATACCAAAAATAATGTCAGACTTGCTCACTACAGCAACCACATGCTATATAGTATGTCACATGTAGATAATGTAGATAATTAAATTAATAAAGAATCTGACAGAGCACAAACAAAGCATCATCAAACTGGAATTTAAGAGCTTACAAGACAAAGAGTATGTGGGGCATAGCACTGAAAGAGAAACAGGGCATGTTCAGTTGAATGCAATCTGCTAAGCATCTAAGGAGACATATCTCAACCTCACAGCTGAGCCACTAGCACGGATAACTTATGTCTGCCTTCACTGCATTTTTTTTTTGCATACGTTTGAATTCTCCTCTTGTTCTTTGAGCAATCTTTAAAACACTTTGCAGATATTTCTGTTGTGTCTGGAAAGTTTAATTCCTAAGAGTGCATCACCTGCAGAAGTGTTCAGATTGAACTGCCCCTCCAGTATTTTGGGTAACCCTAGTTTCACAACTTTTTAAACACATCCACTTGACTCTAGAAAAAGGAATGTTACCATACCAGTACAGATATCCAAAGTGATGCAAAAAAATAAGAAACACGCATGGATTTGTCAGTGTTACTTTTTCAGTCTTGTTGACTTGTGCGCGGGGAAGAGAGTCATGATTACATCGAGCAGAAACCTGATCTTCAGATTGCAGTGTTTGACAAAATCTAAAGAAGCAACATTCCACTTAGGGGAATAAAAGTCTGAGATTTGCACTGCTGCTGGCCATTAGCTGAAAAATTTTAACAAATAGGGCAGAAGAGTGTATTCCTTCCCCCTGAAGTTCATATTGCTAGTGCCAGGGAAATTGCTTAAGTTGTGGATCCAGAAATATTTATTCGTTATTCATTCTTTATTGTGGAAGATTAGATCTGTCTGCTTCCTGGCTTGTACTGTTAGTCAGGAGGTGAACCATGAGTCAGGAAATGCTCCCTTATGTCAGGCCAGGGGACACCTTCCATTCCAGCATTACAAACAGAGCCACAGTTTTCCTACCTACTTATCCAGCAGTTTATTTAGCAATGTACAGGCTGAGTTCATTACTAAGACATGCAATCCAACTGACTCCTACAGCTGGAGCCTTGGCTTGGCCTTGTTAGCCTTGGCATGGATGGCTCAGCAGTTCACAAAGCAGGAGCGTTATGACTGGGCACAGCAGACTGACTCGAGAGAGGTCTGAATAAACCTACTGAAGTCTAGGTTTGGTTTCAAACTTCTATTGAGCATTCAGCATTCGTTAACTGACCGCAAATCAGGAAAAACAAAAGCTACCGGAAAGCTGTCATGTTCACAAAAAGCAAATGGGCAAAGGGAGCAGTGTCAGATGAACTCAGATTCTAAATAGCCATATTTGTTATGTGAGATGACAAAGTCACCAAGGGGTTGGCCACCTCAGAAAAGCTGAGTTATAAGTCACAATTATTAAGAAAAAAACCCCAAACTAAGAAGAGTATAAGACCTGGAACAGATTGATTATTGTTGTTGTCCAGCCTGAGTACAAAACACTCTTTGGGCCAGTACCCAGTGAGAGCCCATTTGCCACCTTAGGTGCCCTAGACTTACATAAAGCCACTGGTCACTCCACCCAAGGCACAACACAAGCACGCTTGAGGCAGTTTATCTGTGATAGAAAAGATTCTGCTGACACAAATTCCTTGTGATGGGCGTACACGGCTTCCATGCCTGTCTCCCAAGTGCAGAATATATTACCACTAATAAAAGATTATGTCTGTGTCAACATTGCACTGCTACGCACAGGGAAAATGTGGAAGTCAGAAGAGCAGCTTTCAGCTGACAAAATTCACTCATAATTATCAACCAGCACAGCCTCTCAGGGATGGAAAGGGACTGCTTTGCACTCCTTGGAGTAAACCTCTTTCAGGTATAGCACAGAATAGTTTGGTTTCTTCTAAAAATGGGGAAAAGAAGCAGTAAGATAGACAATGCTGCCATAGGGTGTGAATCCCAAAGCTTTGGAAAACACAGTGGAAAAATAAGCCAAATGGACTCAGTCCTATTGGGCCATGGTAGACTGACATCTAATAATTTTTGCCTTTGGGAAGGCAAAATTGTCCAACTTGAGAATTTAGACTCCCTATGCGTTGTATTGGCAATAAGTAAGTGAAGATGGAGGAGAAAAGTTTTGAATCTCACTCCTATCCTGTAGTTTATGTGCTTTAGAGCTACTGCTGCTGCCATTTTCCACTCAGCTCACAGCCGAAATTTTCTGTGGCTGACCACTTGTGCCTTTCGGTAAAGGAGCCATCCTTGCAAGGCAACAAGCTTAAGTTGAGGACTTCCCTGTGCTTCCAGCTAGATGCTTCTGTCACTAGTCTACAATAGTACAATACAAAGTACAATACTTTAATGAACGTGCTACTCTCCCTGGTTCTGTAAATCACACATGAACCCTCACACAAAAGAAATCCACCATTGATTGATGAAAAGATTATTAACTAGAGCACCCAATGTGAAGAACAAATTTCAAGTTTCTGTGTCCCTCAAATCAGGAATGATTTATGTATTACATCCTGATAAGTGACATGACTATCTGGTTAAAATGGGGGACCTAGAACTCCATGAAGAACTAAGGGATTATTTTCTTCTCAAGTATTTTTGTTAAGCTAGATCTATTCTAGTGCAAGTGAGACTGCACAAATCAATGCTTCTTATATTGCTTATGAAAAATGTCAAACATTGGCAATATTAAAATACCATTGCTGGAGACAGGCGTGTCATGACTTTGATTTGGCACAGAGCATTCCTATGGTACTGAACCATTTAGCAAGAGTTAATCTCAAATACTGTAGACACCCCAGCTTCCAGAAACACCTATTCTCTTAAGTAATCAGTTGACAGTGTTAAAAAATGTGTATGTCTCATTTTATCTGTATCTGTAGTATCAGTCCTAAAGTGTCTTTCCAAGATGATGAATTACTGTGTCTGGATTTCATACAAGTCACAGTCTGACCTCTTATACCCAAAAGGAGAAAGATTGAATTTCTATTTCAAAATGAAGTGTTTTTGTTGTTGTTTTTTTTTTGTTTTTTTTTTTAAATATAAATTAGGGGAAAAAATTAAAGCTATTTTCCATAGAAATCTATTAACCAGGAGAGGAAGACAGATATTTCAGAGTTAATGACTGCTTATATAGAAGCTGAGTACTTGACTAGCACAGGAAATTATCTGTTTACAAATTTCACAAAATTGGTTTATACCACGATAAATCTATTCCTCCCTCCCCGAGTCAAACCCTTGAGAAGACTGACAAATTTGAGAAGTTGCTCCAAAATATCAAGTCCAACTTCTAGGTGCTACTCACCGCTTGTCCAAAGTATTCTTCACTTCCAGTGATTTCTAAATTCAGTGCAGTTCGGGATTGCTACAGCAGCCCTCTTCTCTGAAATAGAGACAGTTAAATCATTGAATTAAATTCAGAGCCAGCTTTAACTCTTTTATACCTTTTCTGGAGTAATAAATAATTAACAGTAAAAACAATGAATAGTATGACGCTTCAGCTGGAATTCATGCAATAAGTCTTTTCTACCCAATAGAAAACAAACTGCCTTGTATAGCTGCAATACCATACAAGAGGTCTTTGTTTCCGTTGCCACATAACGTGAAAAAACTTTGCTTCCCACATTTGAACCAATAGACATTTGAAATGCAAATGCCTAAGGCTAGGACTTGCATTCATATACTCTTACTGCATTACAAGAGACCAGGTGGAGGAACACCCACAGAATTCCATGTGCTGTAAATGGCTTTTAGCAGTGATGTGTTGGGTCACTACTGCGTGTGAGACAGCGTGTGGTGCTTGTCGGGAGTCACCCCTCTGCAAGGCTTTGAAAGGCTGGGACAAGACACACTGTACAGTAACAAGAACCACAATTAGTTCATAAAATGATTTACCTTGTCTGCCATTCTGGCTTTGTGCCGTAGAGATGAACTCCATACCAGTGTTAGTTTAAATACTAAACAAAACACGGGTTGGAACAAGGGTGCAGCAGTTCTGACCTTTGTTATCAAAACCTTTTGTTCTGGCTTTTGCTATCAGTTCCTTACATCCCAAAGCTAAGCAGAGAAAAGAACACTCTTTGGTGTGAAAAGGTGCTGTCTGTTTTGGCTTTTCCCTGCTGGTAAGAGTATTGCCTTCTCTGAAAATCCAACATCTGTTAAATTAGGCTCATCAGCATTTCCTCAAGGACCTTAATAGCTAATTTAATTGGTTTATCTCTAAGATAGCAGATGCTAAGCTATCCAAGATGTGTTAGGAAGAGGGGCGGCTGTACAGATATGAGTTTGCTGAAACTGTAAATTCTGGCTGGGGTTTGAGGTACCCTTGTTCTTTTAGGGAAGGCAGTATTATTGAGCACATGGTCCTTGGTTTGTATTTCAAGTTATGATTGTTCTGGCAGCTCCTACGGGTCACTTTTGGCCCTGCTACCATCAAATTTACTTCAGCTAAAAATAGGCATCTTTCTACAGTTACAAGATGCTCATCAAAGAAAACATCACTTGGGAGGGGGTGGGAAGGAAGTTCTCCATAAGATCCACTAGCATATTTTATCTAAAACTGTCTTAAACTCAGCACCTAATATCTTATAATTAACAGGAAAAAAAAAAAGACCTCTACTTTTGCCCACCATAACACAGATGTTACATTGGGTATAAGGAAACAGGGGATTCTCTCCTCACTCTCTGGAGTGACCAGTGAGGTTCAAACATATCTCGCATGTCTGATGCAAGTGACAGATGATACCTTCCAGACCTTCCATTTAATTTACATTTTACATAATCTACATTTTAACTAAAGTCCTCACAACTTTTCAACTAATGCAAAGTGATTAGTTTTGTGACATCTAGAAGCAAGATACGCTACTTCTTAGTAGCAGCCTTCATTTGTGGAAAGGATTTGTTGCTCAGCATGTCCCATGATTAGCACAAGGACAGGAAAATAAGCAAGACAAGGCTATAAAGCTGGCACTGCTGCATTATAAATCCAGTTGTATGCAGTTATGTAAGCTTTGGGAAGACATTCCAGTTCAAAACTCATAAATTCAATGATTATTGAAGAGCAGCCCACTCTGTGCTAGAGCTAATCCTTTCAGACTAAACAAAGCTACCCCTTTGATCCAAGTTTTCGATTCAAGTCTATAAACTTGGCCTTTATTAACCTGAGCAAGAATACAAAGAAACCATCTCAAGGGCAATTTATACAGTCACGACCAAGAAAGAGGACAAACAAGAATCGCTTTGTCAGATACTACACAAGAAAGCAGCAAACATTTTTTAATTGAAATTTAAATACAACAGAAAAAAACAGAGCATCTTTACAAGCAAACCGAAGTTGAAATGTCACCAACTGAATATTCAGACAGAAGTCTGAGAAATTTTAATTTCAGGTTCAAGATTAATTTTTTTTGTATCGTTAGGAAATTAGAAACAGAAATTCTGGAGTACATGAGGTAGTTACAGACCCTGTATACACTCTGGTTATTTATATGTGAGAATGCTCATTCACTCATAAGAGGTTTAGCTGATTTCTGTGCAGGTCCCTTTGGAAATTCAGTCTCAGATTGGTAGGCCAAAATAACGCTTAGATTTCAGTTCTATAAAAATGCCCTGATATGGCAAAGCAGTAGTATACAGTTTAGTTTTAAACCTAATTCCATAGCAGAACTAAGTGTGTATATAAATACTTAGCTAGTGGAAGTGAGAACATCCAGCTTCTTACTAAGTCAACCCCCCAAAACTGGAATTTAGTGTCTTTCATGGCTGCACGTCCATTATGGAAATTAATCATGTTCCTGCATTTCTGAAAAGTTTTGAGAGAAAAGCCAGGACATTGACCATATTTAGTCAGTAGTCTTTTCAGCTTAAAAACGTCAAAGTTCCCAGTACATAGGCATCAGTACAAGAAGATGTAACAGATCAGGGGGAAAGACAGAACAAAAATATTGAATATTTGAAAATAGTTTTCACTGATTATTGCATAACAGGGCCTTAGATCAGCTACAGCAGAGTATTTCCCAGTTCTTTGGAAGTAGTTAATTATTACCCTTTGTTGTGTTTGCCATTAGTGTTGTTTTAACCATTTTCTCTCATTTACACATTCAAGTCTGGTATGTCATCATTTAGGAAAAATCTTACGAGCCATGAGTTTAATGTTATCATTATGTTAGGGTTATTTCCAACATTACTTTCCATGTAGATTAAAGCTAGTTAAATCTTTGCCAAGTTATTTTCAGTGAAGTCAGCCTAGCATCCACCTGCCATTTAGTAAATGTTGAATTAAATATTGACAAGTAAAAGCTTTTATGTTGTAAGGTCATGCCCCAAGTTAAGACCAGAGCGGCTCCTGGGTACAGGTTCTTTCCAGGTGGAGAGGCAACATGCTCAAAGTAATTCTTGTTGTAAAGAAGGGTTATACCCCACAATGAAGCCCTTCTAGTGTGAGAATTTTGGGCTCAATCCCAAAGGCAGCAGAGTACCCACCATCTAAGGGGTTTCTGGTTGAACATCAGAGAACACTTTCAAAATTCCCAAGATTAATATGTTTGAGCAGCTTCTGTTTTCTTTATTAATACTGTAAGCAAGAAAACTTGTTGCCAGGCTACTAAGATCTTGAGCCTTCCTCCTCTCTTTGTGTAGTAGCCAAACCTAATTCCAGCAGGTGGATGTACCCTGACAGATTAATTCTTTACACATCTTTTCCTAAAATCTCATTATAGATGTCAAGATCAGGCAGGCAATTTCAACAGAAACAGTTTTTCCAATTAGCAGTCTTAGTACACTTCGGAATTGTTTACTACTCATCTTGAAATCTTCAGAGGAGAAGCGGTGACCTTTTTGGAAGATCACTTAAACTGCTAAGACATCAAGTTCTAACACAAAGCCCCTCCAGGTGAAGCTCCATGTTCTGTATCATCCTCAATAATATAATGACTCCTTCTAGCCTCAGATCTCACTCTTGACCTCTGTGGAAGGGGAAAATGAAACAAATTGCCTTTGCATGCATTGCACTCTCAGCCAGTCTCTAGCTTTCTCAAAACTTGAGTTGCAGGGCTCAAGCTCCAGCCCCTTGGGAACAACGAGCACTGCTCGAGCCCAGAGTCCGTGCATTCCTCACAATGCCAAATGTGCCTAAAAAGGAGGCAGAGCAAGCCCAGAGTAGAAATATACACTCATGTTGCTTTCTTGTGAAAGCTGGTCCTGGAAATCGAGCTAGGAAAATAAACTTTGCACTATACAACTTGCCCAGTTATTTTAAATAGCCCCAACCCCAGCTTCACTTCAGGTCCTGGAAATCGAGCTAGGAAAACAAACTTTGCACTATCCAACCTGCCCAGTTATTTTAAATAACCCCAACCCCAGCTTCACTTCAAGCTGCCAGAGCCTTTTAGCTTGTCTAGCTGTAGTTTTTAGGTCTGATCTCATTTGTCTTCATCTAGAGACTAAAAATAATGCAAAGATATTTGTGTAACAAATTATTCTCTCCGCAGATTCATGAAACCTGGCAAGAAGCAACTCACCATTTATTATCTTCTCCTGAAGGCTAAGAAATATTACCAAAGTATTCCCCTCTAAAAGCAGGGAAAGATAATGTAATATAAGATTTGGCTTTAAAGTGTCAGTACCTTAACTTGCATAATTAAAGCTTCATATGTAAATATGCCAAATTCTGCATGTTGTGGACATAAGTGTTTTTCTCCTGCTCTGAGGAGCTGGAGAATGAAAGGAAAAAATTAGTGAGATAGATCCTCCTGCCTCTCCCAAACTTTGGTTTCCAGGGGCGTTTAAATGTCTGTTGTTGTAGCTTTCAAAACATCACAAAAAAAGAGGTTTCATCACACTCAGTAGGTTTCAAATACTTCAATGTAAAGATGCAAAACTCCCTTACTTTTTCAAGGGTTATGAAATACTGGAAAGACTGATATGCCTGCTTTGCATTTCAAAAGTTATTGGGGTCAAAGTCTGTTTGGTATTACCATTTTCAACAGTTCTTGGTGTCAGATCCCCAAGCACATCACTCATCCTGGGCTCAGGGTCAGCTTAGCAGATGGGTACAAACACCCAGCCATGAGGAGAGTGTCTTTGAACATCAGGGACTCCTCTCCACCTTCACTCAGGAGGCTACAGTGTCTTGGGTTGAGAGACACAGGACTTTTCTTCTAATACTGGGGAAAAATGCACTTTTAGAAGACTATAGTGTGTGTATTTGTGAAAATATGTACTTTATAGCTAACAAGGCTCTGTGGGATTCAAGGTTAGCTTTTTTGAGCTTTGCTAAGTGCAGGGACAAGAAGGAGCAAGGCCTGGGCATTTGACCCAGGCTGGCCAACAGGATTATTTCATATCACAAACGTCACATTCAATATAAATTGGAGAAGTTTGTTG